CCCCAAAACCCCAAAACCCCAAAACCCCAAAACCCCAAAGATCAAATAAGCTATTGAATAGATAATTAAGTACCAAGTCATAACATTCATTTTATTGGAAATGACTCCTGTCCATTTAGAGGATGGGCTATTCCAAGCGGGCAATCATCCTTACCATTACACTGATGTAGTTTATCTGGAGGAGTAGCTTCGTAATAAGGATCTTCACTCTGCTTTCGGTGTCATTCATCTCAAAAATGAGTGGTATCCCATCAGAAATAGATAGCTTCCTTGCATCAAAACTTGCATTTGAACAAAATATAGTCTTCAGGGTGCTTTGATCATATATTTCTCGATTGGATTTTAATAATTCCAGCATCTGTGCATTCTTTGCAAAGGCATTCTTCTTTTCTAAAACTAGGGTCGCCTCAATCTCTTAAACCAGCATAATATACCTTATCTCATTTAGATCATTGGTACACAGATATCTTAGCAACAGCAAATGATTTAAAGTCTCCATTATACGGAGACTTCTCTAAATCATCAGTAGCTAAGTGATCTTCTCGAGCTTGATCAACAGCAACCTTTTCTGCCCTTTTCTTGATTTTAAGATCTGCTTTAACAATTTTCATAATTTCTTTATTATCAGTAGAGATTTGAGCCCCTCACCATCATTTTAAGTAAGTAAAATCAACTTGAGGCCCTTGCCATTTAGACGTCAGAATTCGAAGAAGACAGTCATAATCATAGACATGTTTACAGTCAAGGATTACTCAAGGCCGAGTATTGTATTTCTCAGTACAAAAGATACAGCTATCTTCTCCTGTGATCCCAAGCGTCTTTTCCGGATCCTTTTCAACACACTTGGGATCTAGTCAGAAATGACTCTGAGAGGACTTCAGGCCTGCTCAGAGGTGTTTTCATTTGAGCTCATGAGTGCAGGCAAGCTTGTTTAGTCTCAGACAGTCCTCACTAATGCAGGATAAATGAAAATCAAATGACTTTTTCTCTTTATTGACGATGCCTGTAGCTCCTGATCAATACCTTCATTCTAGAAAATGTTATTAAAACCGAAAATTTTATCTCAGAAAGGATGAAAGATTATCCCCGGGAGTGAATGGCTTACTTTCTCCATATACCTGGATATCCTTCGCCTTCTCAACAACTGCAGCCTTTCTGACATCAGTGTACTTATTTAAGAAAAAGCACATCCTCTGGGAAGAATTGACCCTGAGGATTATCCAACAGGTTATTTACAAGACACTGGTCTAGCTCATGAGTGTCACTGACAGGATCTTTCTTACACTTTGGACAGGGATATTGCAGAGGGTTCTGAAGTATAGCCTCCTTGAGGCATGCCTCGCAAGCTTGGTGGAAACATGGTAGTACCTTCTTGTCCCTCATCATCTTTCGCTTACATAACACGCAGAGAAGACCACGGTCAATATTTGTCTTTTTGTCCTTCCTCTTTTGAAATGCAGCCTCTTTCTCTTCAATGAGTAGCGTGAAGAAACCACACAATGCTTTAAGATTTTGTAGTTGGGCTGCTTTATTTACTATTATTTCCGATAATTCAAGAATTCTTTGGTAATAGAGCAATAGTCTGCGTAAAGTTCATCTCACTTGGTATAATGATCCTGAAATTCAAAATGCCTATTGCTAAAATTCAGTGAGACTTACGTGATAGTGACTCCACACCTGCAGTGGAACTTCTCTCCTTCTTCCATATTGAGTACGTAATTTATATTTTCTTCAATCTTTAGCAGATAGATTGGGGTTTTGGGGTTTTGGGGTTTTGGGGTTTTGGGGTTTTGGGG